CGACAAATGGATGTCGACATTATTCTTAAAATGGGCTTTTTCATCCGTCATCTACATCAACATATCACAGACTTACATCGTGAACAGCAAAATAGCAAAGCAGCTATGCCATCAAAATTTCAAGTTTTTCGTGGTCAAGGCTTATCCATGGAAGCCTTTGAAAAAATGAAGAAAACCAAAGGTGGACTTATGTCCTTTAATAATTTCTTGTCGACAAGCCGCAATCGTGAGATTTCTTTCAAAACCTTTGCACGGCCAGCAGCATTCGATGCGGATTCAGTTGGCATCCTTTTCATTATGAACATCGATACGGCTATTTGTACAGCTTCGTCGACACCTTTCGTCAACGTGAAAAATGTTGGCTTCTTCAACGATAAAGAAGAAGAAATTCTTTTCTCCACACATACAATTTTTCGCATCGATCGTATAGAACGTATTGAAGATAAGCATACAGATCGTCTCTGGCAAGTCAATCTCACCCTTGCTGGTAATCAAGACGATGATTTTAACAAATTAACAGCACATTTACGCAAAGATATTGCAGGAACTACAGGATGGTCTCGATTCGGCAATATACTCATTAGAGTGGGTAAGTTTGAAAAAGCAGGACATCTCTTTGAATTACTCCTTGAAAAAGCCTCTTCTGACAAAGAAAGATCGGAATACTATTTTCAACTTGCCAGGGTGTATAAAGACATGGGCGATAATTCGAAAGCTCTTAAATATTACGAAAAAGATCTCGAATTTAAACAAAAAACTCTTCCTCCGAATCATCCCAACTTGGCTACTACTTACAATCAGATCGGTGGAGTGTATTATAACATGGGCAAGTACTCGAAAGCACTTTCATCGTTCGAACGATCACTTGAAATCAAAAAAATAGCTCTCCCTCCGAATCATCCCGACTTGGCTTCTTCCTACAACAACATCGGTTTGGTGTATGATAACATGGGCGAGTACTCGAAAGCACTTTCATCGTATGAACGATCACTTGAAATCAAAAAAATAGCTCTCCCTCCGAATCATCCCGACTTCGCTCAATCCTACAACAACATCGGTTTGGTGCATTATAACATGGGCGAGTACTCGAAAGCACTTTCATCATATGAACGATCACTTGAAATCCGAAAAATAGCTCTCCCTCCGAATCATCCCGACTTGGCTACTTCCTACAACAACATCGGTTCGGTGTATCATAACATGGGCGAGTACTCGAAAGCACTTTCATCGTATGAACGATCACTTGAAATCAAAAAAATAGCTCTCCCTCCGAATCATCCCTCCTTGGCTTCTTCCTACAACAACATCGGTGCAGTGTATGATGAAATGGGCGAGTACTCGAAAGCACTTTCATCGTACGAACGATCACTTGAAATCCAAAAAATAGCTCTCCCTCCGAATCATCCCGACTTGGCTGCTTCCTACAACAACATCGGTTTGGTGTATGATAAAATGGGCGAGTACTCCAAAGCACTTTCATATTACGAAAAAGCACTACAAATCAAAAAGATTGCTCTTCCTCCAGCACATCCAAGTACTGCACGCACAGAAAGAAACATTGAACTTCTGAAAAAGAAAATATAATTGTTTTTCTTTTAAACAAGAAAATAAATTGACCCTCTTGAACATGTTTTGCTTGCCGAAGCACACCAACTACAAAAATTTCGTGCACGCGCGACCAGGGATACCCTCCGTATTCTGTTGGGTTGTACAGTGGACAAAGCCGGCAATGATAAGGCAAACATACATATATGTATATATGACTAGTACATCCATGATCATCATCTTCGGAAAGATGATGACGAGATGAATGCTTCTAGTCATACATACATAGATGTATGTTATGAAAGCCTACCATTTACACGCCTGTACAGGTTACCAACAGAACGTCGGATATCCCTGGGAAGGTTCATTTTGTTTTAGAGCCACCCTCAAAAGCTCCGTTTGATTTAAATTTTTTTTTCTTCTGTTACGAAGAACGAGAAGAAAGACGACGTTGACGGAATTTTAATACACGCAGCGTATGAAGACAACCGGTTGTTTTAACGCATGCTGTGATATTGAGTGCACGATATCTATGTCGTCTTTACACATGTTATGTTCAATTTATTTTTCTTTTCATCTGGAATGTGTAAGAACAAATGAGATGTCGTGCACTCAATATCATATTATACGAATGATGACTGAACGAAAGAAGAACATAAAAAAAATGATCGACTATTCTGTTTGATTAGCAACATGCACATATATAAGAGATAATTGAAAGAAGAAAATGAAAAAGAAATTTTTATAAATTTAATGATTTTTGTTACTTATTACATAACGTTTTACAAAAATATTATTTTACAATCATATTGATTGAATATAATATAATAAAACAGAAGTTCAAATAAATCAAGTGCAGTAGTTGATTTTTTTAAATAATAATTTACAGTAAAAATTATGGATCTAATATAAAGATTTGTTGTAGAATAGTTTTTCGTTCATTCATTGATGAAGGTGAATATTCAATCGACGTTGGACTTTTTCCGTCAACTATTCATTCATTTATTATGATTATCAAAAAATGTTTAAACTTATTTATTTAGCTTTAAAATAAATGAATCAAATATAAAATAAACAAAATGGATAAACTAAGTAAATCACTTGAAGTTTTAAAATTATTTTCCACAACATGTTATCGAAAGTTTTTTTTGATCTAGAGATCAAGGTGAAAATAATTTTAAATCAGTTACGACTATTGTAAAAGTATTCAAAGGTTTGTTTTATTTCAATTTCAATTAGATGTTCTATGACGATTTAACAAATCAGCAAATGTAATACATTCGAAAAAGATTCAATCATTTTATCAGAATATTATAAACTTTTTTTTTATATTCTTGGTTGATCAATTAATGATGAAAAAATCAAAGTAAGTAAAAAAGAAAATCCTTGTCATCTAAGAAACCTCTTCTAAAGAAGTAATCAGAAAAAAGTTATGCGATTGCTCTAGTTAATCAACAACTTCTGAGTCCATTTTTAGCTAAAACTTAGAGCAGGCGAGGATATTTTTCAGATAATGTAGAATAAGTAGTCTCATACTATTCGACGAAATACCGATTGAGAAACTGTTCATCATTTGCAGTAAGAATAATAAAATTTTATTTATCATTAAATATCAATGAGAAATGAAATAAATTAGTCATAGTTGATTCACTTACAATCGTTATAGTTAAGGTATGAAGTCGAGTGAGAATGAATTTTTCTTTTTTTTTTCCTAATATTAATAATAAATTATTTTCAGGAACCTCTCATGTCCTATTCAGTCAATATGTTATCCTATGATTATAGCACGTTTTCTAATGATAAATGTAATTGGTAAGTTTTCTTTCAAATAATTATTTCAATTAATTATAATTTGTCTTTTATTTTAACAGATCAATTATTTCAGCATTATAATCAAAATCATAGTAAAATTTTAATAACTGGTGATCTTAAATTAAATATCAAAAAATTTCAATCATCATCAAGAAAAGTCAACGATCAATAACAAGAACTAGAAATATTGATACAAATGAACAACATCTTTCAATCAGTATTTGATAAATAATGAATGATTTTATTTTCTATGTAAATCTTTATTTTTTAATATGTTGATACGATATTTTATATTTGTTTAGAACATAAAAGATCATAATGTAATATGAAATTCATTGGAAACACATGAAATTATATTTAAATTTATTTGATTTTGATCAATCATTAATTTCAATTCAAATTGGATCTATCGAAGTAACTTGTATTAGTCACACATTAAACACAGGTAAATATTGTGAAAAGAGAACAACAAGTTTTTATTTTTTCTAAAATAATAGAGTATTCAACATATCAACGTTGATTTATTGAAATGAATAAACAACACGATATTTTAGTATATAAAATGAATGATGAATTATATTCAAAATCAATGATTAATAATGAAAAACAAACATCATTTGCTAAACTTGTTAATCAATTATGTTTTTTTTTCCAATTAGACATTTGCTCAATGTGTTAATAATTTGATTATCCTACTGTAAGTATGTTTAATGCTTGTTTGAGACCTTTTTCTTTTTTGTAAAGTTTCAGTTCAGTAAAACACATTTATTTCATAATCCAAAATTATTTCCAATGTTGTAACAGTAGGAGGAGTCAGATGAATAGGATAAATCTGATGAAGGAGCTTGTAACAGAGTTTAGTTAACGTGACTTCAATTGGTTATGGTCTCAAAGTTTTAGTGAAAGTTATCTGATAGATATGAAGATTTTACTATTGAATTGTTGAAACAAAACGATATGAAATTGTAATCTTTTTGAAACCAACAAAAGACTAGAACATTATCAGACTCGAAAATATATCAAGTAGAACACTTTACTAAGTAGGTTAGACATACAAAAGTTTTAGAGTCTTTATATATCAGAGATTGAAATTATACAATCACATAATTACCTCAAAAACAAAGTTCGAAGTTAAGGTACGAATTCTGTACATATCTAGTACGAAAGAGATGTTCGGTTTTTCATTATGATATGAAATCAATTGTATTCTCGAATGAGTTTTTCTTTAATCTTTGAAGATTTCTGATTAAATAAAAATTTTGTAATTGATATGAAATTCTTATCTCTATATGACTTGTAATGCATTAAAATCTATCGAACATCGAGGTAGATGATCTACATTTATGTGATACATATGCAAATTTCTTTCCTTGCTACATTAATTAAAAAGAACAATTCATCTTTTAAGACTATTATCATTATCAAATTCATTTAATAATTCTTTTATTAATGAATATTCATTTTTATCAATTGATTCACAAGACAGGTCAAGGTTAGATTAGAATATTAAATCGTCTCTTGTTTTTGATAAAAATATTTTTTCTTTTTGTTTTTAAATATATTCAATTAGGTATATTAGCAGAATTACTTTCTACATTTCGATTATGTCTTTAGGATAATAATGCACATGTTATACATTTAGAATCATAGGAATTGCACATGTTACTATTGATTTATCTAAGGTTATTTTTCATTTTTTAATAATCTTCGATTATACGTTACTTTTCTTTTTTTTTCAAATAGTATCAATCACTTTTGGATATTTATTCCATATAATCAACCCTATTTGATGCTGCATTATCATTTGAATTACGATCAATTGATGCATTTTTTGCTGTTTTTGATCATCAACAAAAGCAAACGTTGGTTTGTTTTTATGAAATTTTTTCGTTGTTTAAATTTTTTTTTAAGGGCATCAGTCATCAAACTATAAATTGATGATTAATGAATATAAATACTATTCTTTGATGTTTTATACAAAATTCAACTGAAGATGTTATATTAACATGATGGAATAATCCTTTATCATTAGCTAAAATGAAATACGATATGAAACTTTTAGTGAGTAAGTATTCAAAATGATTTTATTTATAATTTTAAAAACTACGATTCTTACTTTTGTTTTTAGCGCTCCTCTTCGAAGTTTACATGACATAATATGACGAATTTTCGGACAATAACGTGGTCAAATCAATATGACATTAGTTTCTCTGCATATTATGAAAAATAGTAATGAATCAAAATAATAGTGTATTTGTAGACATGAATATGATAGTTCAATAGTAGGAATATTATTTTTAGCTGAACTTGTCATCTTTGTAACGAGCGCCAGAATGATTGATTTAAAAATTTCGATATGAAACTTTAGAAAAAAGAAACTAACTGAGCAGATAATAACTAGTTTCTATCAAAGTCAAAAGATCTTAAGCTTTCATCATAATCTATATGATAGTAACATATCACCCATTCATTTGAGAAGAAAACTTTCCTACAATTCATTAATTACTAATGACCTAGCGAAATACATTTGACTTTAAAAATTTCTATGTTCTTATAAGATTTATAATTTTATTCTAGCTAAATAATTTCGAAAAAATTCTAAATGATTTTCGTCAATCATTAGTTCATGATGAAACTGTATATTGTCTTGATATATTTTCATATTTAACTAGTTTAAACGAATATTTTAAATTATTATTATAATGAATACATATTCTGAATATACTTGATTATGCGCAAAAGAAGCATGATGGTCATCAATATAAACACCATCATCATTAATAACACACTTATTCATAAATGATTAATTACAATCTTATTATAATTTAATATATTATCATAAATTATATTTGGCCTTATACATCTATACATCAGTTGCAAGTCATTTATTCATTTGTGAAGGAATACATTTAGATGAAAATGGTTTTTTTATTAGTTTTATTAATTGAATAATTTCTTCTATTATCATATATATTTGTATTATGTTTAGCTGAATTAATTGTTTATGATCGTATTGAAATGACGTTAATACTTGATCAATAAATATTAAATAAACAATTATTAACAAAATATTTACTATTAAGTTTTATAAATATAATCAATAACAATACCAACCGATATTATTAAAGAAGATTTTAATAATCTTTATTATCCTATGGATATAACAACAAAAATTGATGCACAAATGCTTAAAAATGTAACTTATAAAAAATGATTATCATTTATGA